CCTTTGTGTCCAGCTCTGCCTCTGCCTGAATTAGCTGCCTCAAATGAGTCATTTAAATTCAGACTTTCATACATGGTGTTTCTGTTTGGGCTTTTTTCGTTTTCCTTCTCCCCGCCAGTGTCCTGACTTCTGCACATACCCAGGGATGTTTTGTGCACTGGTTGCCACTGGAAATAGTTCAAAAGTCAACATTCACAAGGGCACTAATCTGCTTTTTGAGATCAGTCCTACTGAATCCCCCAGGCTCTAAGGTCCAGCTGCAGATGGACATGCCTACAATCTACAGTCAAAAAAAAAGCGCCCACACTCAATACCGAATATTTAGGCCTCTTGTCATCAATGTTTGGGGACTAGAAATCATTTCTCTCACTGATCCTTTCTCCCTGCTGGTGGATCTTTATCATTCAAGAATGAGCTTGAGATTCGCTTTAGCAGCAAAGTGATAGTTTTTTCTGTTGCTACTCTTTGCTCTGTGCTTTTGTACTCACTACTGCGGTTTGCCCTGTGGAATGCCCAACATGATAATATCAATTTAACCAGTGTGCTTCACTGATCTTTAAGAGAGTTCATAGCTGTTGTTCGATTTCCAGGAACCCTTGATTTTTCCGAGAAGGTTACATTGAGGCTAAAGTTATCTTGGCTTATTCGTATAACCGGTTATTTAGAAACCCGACAGCTCTTTTAGACATTATTTCTGCTAACATGCCTCAGCTGATTTCATGTTTAATAAACCCCATGCATGCAGACTCAAAAAGTCATCCCAAGAGTGGCATGAGTACAATTTGTATCCACGTACCGTAATATTATTCTATAAATTAAGCTGCCTTTCTCCAGCTCTCGTATGTGCACTGTTTTGTAGATTAAAGCATGTTTATCTCTGAATGCAAGATCTGGACTTTGTTCAGCTCTGACTTGGTCTTCCAAGTCTTCTAATTACTGTTTGGATGAAGATCGTTTGGATCAAGGTGCTACTCAGTATTTATATTTTTAAATCTTCATGTGGACCAAATAAGACTCTCTCCAACCAGAGTCTCCCGGGAGGAGCAGGTGCCTCACAGGGTGGTAACAGAGATACAAAAGCTTTCCTTTGCTGAGCATTGCTTTGATTCCAGCATCAGTCAGTAGCGATTGAAAAGCATTAAGTAAAATTAAGCAGCTGTTTTATGTGGGTACCTGGGGAGAATTAAACAAGCTCTGTGCTTTTTTCTGAATCTCCAAGAAACACCTGCACCGTCGTCCTGCTGCTGGCAGTTCTAGGCAAGTCCTGACCTGGATGAGAGCTGATCCTTCTCACGCTGGCTGGAGGCAGGTTAGCCAGAGAGCAGCAAAAGGAAAAGCCACCCTTTGTGACTTTGTATAACTGGCTCCCAGAGCCATGTCAATTGGCTGCCTAATCCCACCACTAAATTCACCTGAATAATAATAGGGGTTTAATGGATTTCTCTTTTGTTCCTCACCTGGGTATGACTATTAAGTCATGAAAGTTTTAAAAGCTTACAAATTAGCTGAAGTGACAAATGAGTACAGCAGGGTGCCCTGCATGAAATGCTGGTGTTTGAAACCTGCGTGGCTGTTGAAGGGGCTTTGCTCCACTAGCACGGTCTTGGCTGAGCCAGACCTCGTGTTCATCCCTGAACTGATCACACAAACTTCGAGATGAGACAGGAGAGAGGCTCTGACTTCTGAAACAGATACTGAATTGCCAAACGAATAAAGACCGCGAGATTCTTAAAGGCTGCTGTGAGTAGGAAGCTAAAAGGCATTTTTTTATGTCGGATTCAAATGAAAGTTTTAAACCCTCACCTATACGAGCAGCATTAGGGACTTCCCATGCTGAATTCAGCCTCTTCCCCAGGAAAGGCCGCTCCCTAGCGAAAATGAACCGACGAGTTCACTCGATGAGCTGATAAGCAGATGATTGAGAGCAGAATGCTCTCTTTTCTGCAACGTGTACCTCAGCGTTTCTCTCCAGTATGCCTCAAAGATTGCGCCATTTGTGTACTCCGGGGTTGTGATTTCTCCTGGAATAATCCAGGATGGCTGTGGCAGAAAGCCATTCTGGAGGAGCCCCTTGAAGTTGTTAGAAATAAAATCAAATGTGCTCAGTGACTTCTTACGCAGGCAATGTTCCCCTCAGCCTAGGGTTTCTACCAAAGGGCGGGAGTGTGGTACATTTTCAGAAGTATCACACAGTAAACTTCAGCTGTGTTGTGCTTTAAGAAACGGGAGAAACTCGATGAGCTGATAAGCAGATGATTGAGAGCAGAATGCTCTCTTTTCTGCAACGTGTACCTCAGCGTTTCTCTCCAGTATGCCTCAAAGATTGCGCCATTTGTGTACTCCGGGGTTGTGATTTCTCCTGGAATAATCCAGGATGGCTGTGGCAGAAAGCCATTCTGGAGGAGCCCCTTGAAGTTGTTAGAAATAAAATCAAATGTGCTCAGTGACTTCTTACGCAGGCAATGTTCCCCTCAGCCTAGGGTTTCTACCAAAGGGCGGGAGTGTGGTACATTTTCAGAAGTATCACACAGTAAACTTCAGCTGTGTTGTGCTTTAAGAAAAACGGGAGAAAAAAGAAAAAAAAAAAATCTTGAAAATATAAAACTCACAATGAGTTTCATTAGAGATCTCTACTACCAAACAGCACAGGATTCATTTCCTTGTCTATTTGCTCCCTTCTCTAGGGATGAACGACAGGATGAATTAAAGGACAGGATAGTAAGATGGGGGGGATGAGAACTTGCTGAGAAGCAAAGTTCTCTCTCAAAGAGAGAAAGAGAGGGGGAAAGGAAAACAAGTGTTTTAGTTAGCTAGTCAAGGTTAGCTTAGCACTGTATCTGCTTTTTACTGACATTATGAAAAATTATAGATGGCACAAAAGCAACTTCGCTAATGCTGAACCCTACAAAATTTATCTTGACAACTTAATGAGCTTATTTGTTCTTCTAGGAGGTTTTTAATCTCCCCGCGAGGTCTTTCACCTTCATTTTCTGATAATTTTTGAGAAAGATTCCTATACAAAGGTAGCAACTTGCAAATCAGCATGTTCATCTTCTTTCGTTGCCTATCGTAGGTAAGAAAGAAAAAACCCTTTTAGAGAAAGAAGGGGTTTGAGACGTAACCGCTCTGTTTTTGCTGCCTACTTGAAGGATTTTTGCAAAGAGAACGCGGTTTGAAGAGGGGCAGACTTTAGCGCGCAAGGACGGCGGTTCACTGCCCCGGGTTTTCCCCGCAGACACAAAGGCAGCTGCCCGCACCGCC